ATCAGTACTGAAAGTATTGTCGAAGGGTTCATTTGCACTTTAACTGACAATTGGGTACGTACCCCCTTAGCACCCTCGTCTAAGGTATGGGCAATTTTCTGCTAATGCCAATGTGCATATCATAACTCTTAGACGTCTTGGTGGTCCCCTGCGACATATCTCATTATTGGTTAAGTACCGTAAACGCTTTCGGACCGTTGGCCTAATGCATTTTGTTAGGTATGGAATATTTTCTGCTAATACTTGAATATTTCGTGCAAATTATAACTCTTGGACGTCTAGGTGGTCTCCTGTGATAAGTGTCAAGCTGGGTTAAGGACTATATTGACTCTTTTAAAACGCTTTATGACCGCCCTTGGCCTAATAACTTTTTCGGGAAGGCAAAAACACTTGAATGATATTAAAGAAGAACTTCTTCCCTACCTTAACTTTGCCTATATACCCCTCGTACGTCGCGGAACACAGCTCAATTTGCAGGACGACATAACACAATAGGTGTCCAATTCTCTAGAGATTGTAATTCTTGTTTTTTCCTCCAAGTTGAGCTGTGTTCCGCGACGTATAAGTTAACTGTTAACTACTAATTTTAGATTATTTGTCAGTTAACTAATAGTTTTTCGGCCGAATGTCAGTTAACTACTCATTTTTAGGCCGAATGTTAGTTGACTGTAATAATTTTACAAGCGCTGGCCATAATATGAACCAAAATAATGAAATATCAGTTAACTGTTGACTACTTATTTTAGGTTATTTGTCAGTTAACTAATAGTTTTTCGGCCGAATGTCAGTTAACTAAAAACCCCATTGGCATCCCTCTTTGGGGAATTGGACTAGACGTTTAGATGATGATTGCAATTTAGTCTTCATTAACGCATGCCTTAAGGATTAGTTCTGTCTTTAATTGCTAACACATTAACTATTCAACTAATCAAAATATACCGAACTAAAAAACAAGTTTTAAATGAATCGATTCTTAAACATCTGATGCACGGAAGATCAGTAATTATATTAAAACTATTTATTACCTAATGGTGCGAAAAAAATTGCTTTGGTGTTCCGTGGCACTTTTTTCAACAGAATTTTAACCCTAGGTTCCCGTTGATAACCCTTTCTTTAGTTAAAGCGGAAGATGTTTTTCTACCTTTTATGATTTTTTTTTTTCAATCTGTTGTCTGCGTGGCAGACCCACGAGTTAGCATCGTCCCCGTATCCTTCCTCGATTTTCCAAAGTTTTTCTTTTTCTACTTGTCTTTTTTTTTCTTTTCTTTTCTTCTTCAAAAATGTTCATGTCGAATTCGTTATAAAACGACGGCCTTTTTGTTTGCCGCTTTTTCGCACAATCCAAATATGGAATAGATCATACCATATATGGAGTGAGCTTTTCTCTACTCCAACTTCGACACTAACATATAGAGTAAAGCTCGATATGCAGACTTCGTATGTTCATAGTTAACGTTAATTTATTAACACTTTTTTTTTTTACAAAATTTTACAAATGGGTCCCAAATGATGACCCATTCTTTAGTTGAAGTGGAAGATGTTTTTCCACCACAGGGTACCTACCCCTCTCGAACAGCAACAAAAACCAAATCAACAAAAACCTTAGCGAGTAGGCTGCTGAGGAGGCTAAGCTAATTCAATTTTGATTTATGGGTGCAGAAAAATCAACTTCTAATTTCTAAATTGCATTTCCCTCATGGATCACGATGCTCGAGTCATTCCGATCTAGTAGATGATTGAGTAAGTTTGGACTGAGCATGTCGACAAGAAAGCATGTCTGTAGGCAACTCAAAGATTAAATATATTATTCAACACATTAACTAAAGGTACACTCAATTTTACTGATATAACTGAATAAAGATATAAATAAATAAATAAATAATCCTTGTTTTACGAGGGTGTCACTTATTTAGCCAGAGCCTAACAAACCTGTGGCCTTCATCATGCCAAGATTGAATAAGCCTGAAGCGAGATGACGTTTTACTCCCGTCTCTAGACCATAATCCTTTTCACACTGCTTTCGTTCTTTAATTATGACTATTGTTCCTGTATTCTCTAAGGAATCAAAAATCTTAATATGAAAGAATTTTAAAAACTATTATGGTCTAGAGACGGGGGTAAAACGTCATCTCGCTTCAGGCTTATTGGAATTTAAAAATTAGAAGCTCATTTTTGCCATATACCGAAGCAGTATTTTAATGAAATACCCCTTTGGAAAAATACCCCGCGGTTTGAGGCTATTTTAGATGTTTGTTAGGGATCTGGGTTTCTAGTTTGTTGTTTATCACATCTTCATTCATTTAAATATTTTGGGAACCACGGGTGGCGTGCGATGGAACTAATGATCGATCTATTGACTACCTTTTTAGGTTGCACCTGTTTGGCATAAAATCGTCCACCTAGGAGTGGCAAACACATTAGAAAGGCTTCTCGTCGAGATTAATGTGATTCAAGTACATGTTTCAGTGTTGTCCTATACTACACTGACTCATCTCAGAGATTTCATTTTCGGTTTCCTTTACTGTGGAGAAGACTCGTGCGCACCGCTGCTACTTCCTTACGAGCTCCAAAAAAAACTAATAAAGAATGACTCATGCACGAGGGCGAGTAATTTCTAACCTTATTGTTATCTAGAATTTTCCTCTCTTGTTTGCTTTCCTTTGGCCTTTATCTAGAATAAACGTAATTTCTAAAGTTAAAAAAATGACAACGACAAAGCCACCTCATTATGCTTTGTATTTATATCTATTTCGAAAAACATTGTCGGTCGCACATCTCAAATCTGAAATCTGAGACGATCGAGTTGCACGCTGCAAATATATAACATAATATAGTATATAACACATATCATTTCAAACGATCATTTGTATAAACATAATAGTGCCGCCTTATTTGTAGCTAGGGGTTTGTTCATGATAGCACTATTTGTCAGGAATATTTAGACATTATCAGAATTCAATTTTTGCACTCATTACTAGAGAGTTTAAGATCCTCGTTTACGGCAAACGTAAAACGTCAGTTGACCATTAAAAAATTCTTTAAAATTAGTGAAAAGGAATCGHAAAAATCTCCAAGTAGTAGATAAACAAAAGAGTACTTGTCTTTGTCGAGAAGGTTTGCAAGAGGTAAAGTGAAATGTAGGGAAACGATGAAAACGTTGTCACGTTTGCCGTTTGCGGGAATGAAAAACGGGAATCTTAATCTGCCTACTGTCGCTCTACTTTAACCGGGAACACTAAAATGAACTATCATATTACAAGCATGAACACATCGAACCTCGAATTAGTCTGTTAAAAGTCCCTCTTTTCGCTCCAAACTTGCTCACTAGTAGAATAGAATAGAATAGAAATCTTTATTTAAACGCGATAAATTTTGAAAGCTATACAGCTTATGGGGTCGTGTAGTCGTGGGGTCCTTTAGTAGATTAGAGTTTGAAAAAAAACCTACTCGACTGAGTTAGGAGGAAATAGAGGGACTAGAGACCTTTAGCATCAAGTTTACCGCTAACCACTAACCACTAACTGCTAGGGATCAGATACAGAAACAGGCCTAAAAAACACGGAGAAAATATAGGCATGAATGAAATAAATTTGGCGGCTCTTCCAGCAAAAACTTTGTTATGACGCCTCGCAAAATGTCGAAAGTTTTTAAAACGCAAAGCGCCTGACATCGAACTGCAGTTTGAGGTTTGCGGTACCTAGCAAGAACGTCGCGCTAAAGGTCTCTAATGTTAACATTCTAACCTCGACTTGAAACCATTGTTATGTGGCCACGATTAAGCGATAAAGATCTAAATATTGGCATATTACCAGAGTTCAAAATATTATCATATATAAAATACATGTATAAACACATTAAGATAATTAACTCATTGTTTGAGCTTCAGGCAGCTGTAGATAGGTAAACATTTGGGACTATCGCATAAAATGTTAGACTTCCTATATTTTCTAGTTTAAAAAAGTTGTCTATCACTAGCGGGCTTTCTGAAAAATATAACAGGGATGATATACAATAATAAGTGATATAATTTTGATATACTTGTATGTATATAAATATATATAATTGTTCCAAACCTTTGTTAAAACTCGGCTACCCCTCGTGTTCCTAAGATTACTTCTCTCTTTCTCTAAAGCTCCCAGCGTGTTTATATCACATGGTGCGCATTTTATATTCCTCTTATATTCCTCTTGTCTGGCAAGACAAAAAATTATGCATTGTAGCGCCTCATAGCGTTTACTAGTTTGCGGGATTCGCCCCTCACGTGTTTTATAATCAGTTTTATTTTACTTAATGTACACACAGAACAAATACAGAACACGGTATGAACAAAGCAGCTTCTTTCTTAGATAAAAAAGGTTGCTGAGCGGTTATGGGAAGTATGTTGACAGATGGTTGTCGCCAGAAATAAAACATCGATGGAACCAAAGAAATCATGACGCCATTTCAAAAAAAGCCAGTTAGTAATATCTTTGTTTTCGGTGCTTGGCATAAGAACTGCAAGCTTTCAGTTCGCCTGCATCGATCAATAGACCATTTGAATTGGACGTGGTGTTTCCCATTTCAAAAACCTTGGAAATTACTAGCCATTTCGAGCTCGAGGGGAAAACTTGCATTCGGTCGAGTACTTTTGGCATTGCAGGGTATTTTGGGACTGTTTTATTCACCATTTTCCATTTCCATACATTGGTTCACTGGTCAAACACAAAGCGCTCAAGCGAGGCCTCAAGGTACTTTCAAAGGATTATTCCAATTTGAACCTTGCAACCTCGACTGAATGCTTTGTGTTTGACCAGTGAACCGATGGATGGAAAATGGTAAATGGAACGAAATAGACGCCATCTTGGAAATATGTTTATCACACATATCTTAAGTTATCTCCTAATTAAGATTTGGATTGTTTCTTAACTGAAGTTAGCAAAAATTATACGTAACGTCTAACACTGAGATAAATTTGAAGATTTCAGCTTTTCACGCTTTCCAGATAAATCAGCCGCCATATTGTTTTGTTTGTGCCATGTGCGAATCCGCTGACAAAACACTGCTCAAGCAGTTTAGACAAATCCGGTATTTGTGGGGAAAATTGTATGATATGAAAGGAAAAACCATAAGTATACTAGGAAAACTGCACATTTTTAACCTTCAATTTTTATTCTGAAACAACCTCAGGGCTGATCTAAGTCAGGGACCGCCGGGCTAATTCACAGATCGAATCCTGAAACAACCTCTGGGCTGATCTAAGTCAGGAAACGGCTAGCTCACAGATCGAACCCTG